CGGGGCCACGACCACCCGAGGGAAAACCATAGAGTTTTCCCTCAGATGATTGTGGCCCCGCCCCCAGCGTGCCCGGCGTGGTCACGTCACTTCCGGGTGACACGCACGTCGGGGTGGGCTTCCCCCCAGGGCCCGATCCGCCGCTGGGGGGACTTGGGAAGCCTAATTCTGCATTAGCTGAACCCCAGAAAGCTACAGTTCCCAGGATTCCTTGAAAGGAAGCTGTGACAGCTAAACCAATTCACATTTGTACTTAAAACAGACAGACATCCCTAGCAGACATCGACATTCCTAATTTTCTGTTTGCCCGAAGGGCTACTGCATGATTAACATACACTTACACCTTCCAGGGCATGTTGAATTTTAGAGCTAAAGGAGATGGTAGCAGAAAAGAAACACAGCAACCAATAAATCAGCAGCACGCCTGAAGACTGGACACCTTTTAATCGTTCCGTCTGGGTGAGAAATGCAACAAGTATCTAAGCAAGGAAAAAGAAATGCTTTATATTAAGAACACCCAATCACACAGAGTAGCAATTTTAAAATAAAAACACTCATGACCCATGCTCCCTCTAAGCTGTGGAGTCTTGTGAGCAAAAATCCTACTTGGTGAGCTACTGGCATTAAAGTTGCGAGCGAGCGAACTGGCCGCTGCATAAATTAGTTTGCTCTGGAGCCCTCCTCCCTGAGCTAAGACAAAAACCAGTGAGCTGGAGGCTAAAGAACTGTGAGCTAGCTCACACCAACCCGGCGTAGGGGGAACACTGCTCATGACACCACAAGATGTATGGATGGCCACTGTCTCTAAAAGGAGTTTAGACACACTAATGGAGACAGGCCCTATCAGCAGCTATTAAAAAACAAAATCTTTGAATCCCACTTTCCCTTTTTTTAAAAAAAAAAACATTTTATTAAGTGTTCAAAATACAAATACACAATTCATTTCCAAAAGGATAAACAGAGCAAGTTATATGCCCAACATAGGAACAATAAATGTGAAAAAACAATAATATAGTCTCATGGTTCTAAATCTTACAAAAGCGGTATAAAAAACTCCAAACTATTAAATTTCATTAATGTACAATACCTGAATGTTAATAACATGTAGAATAAGCACAAAAGGAGAACAAGGAAATTCTGAGTAGTAGTAAATTCTGCAGTGTAAGAAAAACCGAAACATCACACCCATTTGTGTAACTGAGACCATTCAGATGAGATAAATTCTAAAACTGTGAACCACTTTGCATTAAATGAAGAGCGTTTTGGTTGTTGAGTCATATAATTCAATTTATCCGTAACAGAATCCATAAGATAATGGTTCCATAATTTTCAAAACCATACCTCAATATTGGGTGATTTTGCATCCTTCCAATAAGATGCTATAGCCGTTTTGGCGGCATCCAACATAACCTCTATGGTAGCTTTATGTTCTTGAGAGGATAATTCTGTAGGCCAGATGTCTCTGGTGTAAAGGGGACGGTAACTGAGGTGACTGTTTGAATTATAGATAACACTTTCATCCATGAATCCCACTTTCCCATCCAACTGGACAGGCTCAAGGGGGCTAAAATAATAGCTAAATAAAACCTCCATGTTTGGAGACAATGGCCCCGGTCACACGAGCCGGATATCGCGGGGGGAGGTGTGGCTAATTGCCCTGGCGCAGTTTGATCTGCAATTACGCAATCAGACGCGCCGGCGACACACTACGGGCCCGTCCCTTCCGCGCCGGCGGGTAAACGAGGGTGGCGATCACACAACGATCCTGCAGCACGGCAAAGAAGCGGCACGGCGCAATCACACCAGCAATGGCTAGGCGTCGCTGCCATGACAAATGGGGTCATTTATTTTTTTTTTAAGCCGAAGCGGCACTTTTGCTTTCCTCTTGTGCGCATGCGCCGTTGGGTGCTTGTGCGCATCTTGTGGAGACTTGGGGGGGAAAAACCCTGTTTGCGAAGGGACATGGGCGGGCGCCGGATGCCACCACCGGAAATGTGATCAGACGCCAGCCCTTGCCCCGCGGTTTCCGGAAACTAGTACCTCGGAGGTACTAGTTTTTAACTCCGCATCTTCGGCGGGAAGCCTTGGGTTCGCCATGGGAGCTCTACGCTTCCCAGATGTTGTGGTGTGATCGCGCTCGGAAAATCCGCCGATCTTCCGTCTCTGTAGCGTGGCTAATGCTCTGTGTGACCGCAGCCAATGTACCTCTAAATAACAGTAGCTCGGGCAACATCAAGGGAGGGCTGTTACATTCAGGCCCTGCTGATGGGCTTTCCAGGAGCAGTTGTCTGACTGCTGAAGAAAACAGAGTGCTGGATTGGACGGAGCTTTGGTCTAATCCAGCCGCATGTTATCCTCACTGTGACAGATAGGTCAGACTGAGAGAGATAGATTGACTGACTCAAGGTCACCGGGGGAGCTTCCTGACAGAGTGGGGATTGGGACCCAGGTCTCTTCTAGCCCAAGTCCGGCATCCTAAGCATTACACCACACTGTCTAAAAATGCCATTTTAAAGGACAGAAATTTGCTTCTTCTTTTTTTGAAACCCCCAAAGGGGTATTTTTATTGTTTTTCAATAGACTACAAAACTATAAAGAAAAAATTGGGAAGGGACTACATCTATGGATAAAGAAAAGATACCCACACTAACTAAAAACCCAAGAGTGAGAGATCATATCCCAGTTAAACTAAATGTTAGTATTACATTTGCTAATAAGACAATATACTTGTAGAGTTCTTGCTTTGCACTGCTTCTATGTTAGTAAATTAGTTATCTTGAGAAATGTGCTTTTAAAGACACCCCAAACAGTGCATTGTGGTCTTTTCGCAGCTCTACAGCAGCACACATATGCCAAAATCCTCCCTGTCTATCTGGCAGCTAATTCCATTTCCAGTCTCAGAACCTCAGTTCCAGCAGTCTGGGGTACTCCCCTGTTCTGCAGAGGAAAGAGCACCAAATCAGGGTCTACCATGAAATGGTGTAAGAAAAATAATAGGAATTACCAGTGTAACCATCTGTAAAGCAGGGCTGATGATCAATCTGGGTGCCTCTGGGACCCCTTGGATTGCTTGCCAGAGAATGAAGATGATGCTTGAGAAACACAGCAACAGCAAGGTGAGGCCAAGAACCTGAGAAGCAGGGGGGGAAAGCTCAGTGTGAGAAACACATCTGCAGAAAAACCCATAAAATGCAACAGAATAAGTCAGTGTTACTGGTAATTCATAGTTTGCAAACCATACCACCTCTCTCTACAATTTAAGAGGGCAATACATTCTGCTGAAATCTTTGGGTGTTGCTTTGATGTGGGGCACCCCAGCCACAAGACCATGCATGCAAAAGGGTTCACCTCACCCACCCTTCATTACTAGATAATTTTTTACTGTTCTCCCTGCTGTCCAGAGCTGAAGCTGTCTGGCAATTGTGAAGAGGCTGCTGTGGGAACTGGAAAAAAAAACACTGGGGGCTGATGTATTGTGTCCTGCCCATATTGGCTGGACCGTAGCATAGCCAATGTCCAGGTCAGGTTTATTTCTGTGCTATCAAGAACCTCAAAGGTAAGTTAGAAAACAAAAAAGGGGCCAATAGTTAAAACTATTGAGATATATGTCAGAGTGATAGAGGTAGCAAGCAGTTACTATAGATCAGTTTGATCTGTTTGCCAGACCTAGCTGTCATGCTAGTAATCATGTAATTACAGCCAGGTGTTTTCTAGCAGGTGTCACTCTTTCAGGTCTTGTTAGAGTTAGTGATTATATCACCTTGTTAGAGATTGGCTGGGGTTTAGCATAATAGCTATCAGATTAGTAAGCTGAGGGGGACTCAGTTCTCATAGACTAAGGCACGACATGCTGTTAAATAGCCTGTAAATATCTCTGTATATATTCACCTTTATAACTAAATAAACTCTCTGTGCACCTTCATAACTGGTCAGTCTCCCGCTTCTTATTTACAATACCCAATAAAACTTAAATATAGAATAATTATAAGTAAAAATACATGTATTTATTGCAGAGGCAATTAAAAACATACAAGGGCCCAAATCAAACCTCATAACATGATAAAAGTGACATGTGCACAAGGAGAAACACTTATGACCGAAGACGTTTCAACCCAGTAGGGCCTTTCTCAGAGGTCAAACACTATAAGGTACATACAGGCTCCTGTTACAATCAAAAGACAGTAAACTTGTTGATAAAGGATCAAAAAAGGAACTTTCCAATATGAAATCAAGTGACACAAGAAAAAAATTATTTGAGAGGCCTCCTTGCTATATCTAGTCCCTGCTGGAATAGTCTGTAAATATGACTTCAAAAATGAAGGCCCTCTGGGTTTCTTAAAACCACCATGAGTCTCCAGCACTCTCTCTTTCAAAGGTAAACTCTCTCTCTGGGACTTCCTACTGCTTGGAGAAGCAGGGGAACCCTTAATGATAACCTTGGGCGTGAGCCTTACCATTTTAGATTTGAAGACAGCCGACATCCTTATATAACCTCTGCTGTTTCTCTGGAGATAAAGGTAGTAGAAGGGAAACAAGACCCAAAGGTAGATACATGGAATCCAGAGCAGCATAGTATTCCGAAAGCATGGGGTAAAGCTTGGGATAGCTGTGTACCATGTCCGGTTCGAGTCCTACAACAATACAAGAACAGGAACAGACCAATACTAATAAACATTTACTGGGAGTAAGCCCCATTGAATAGACCTGTTTAAGAAAGCTCTTGAAAGGTAAGGTTTGAAGGGTACAGCTGTGCAATGCAATAGTACAGTATCACAGCTGTCCTACACCACTGTTGATTGAGATCTTTGTTGTCTGATTGAATTGTTTTTATATTTTCAGTCACAGAAAGACATATGGGCTACAAATGAAGTAAATACAATAAAATATGGATCAAGGAATTATTGCTCAAGACTGCTTGGAAGCCACATTTTGAAAACCTCACACAGTAACAGAAGAACATTTTACATATACTGAGAACCACGATATATGTTTCATTCAGACACTATTTGAGTTAAAAGGAAATGTCAATCACATTTAAACTTGAACAGCAAAACTTTAAAAGTTGATTTAAAGGATCAGGAAGAAAGGGAAGCAATCTTTTTATTTTAGGATTTTCCTTGTCTGATTCAGATGATGTGGAAAGTGAATTTAGCTGAGCAAGGAGGAGTAAGAACTTTGTACAGCAAAGCAACTATCAGATTTGCTCTCATGTTGCAGTGCATTTCAGGAAACATTTTCCAAGTGAACACGTGGCACTCACTAACCCAGAGTCCAGCCGATTCCTCCCAGGAACTGCACAACCAGCTTGCCACAGTCATCTCTCCTGCTTCAACTTCCAGTCCCACTTTAGTCTCCTCTGCTCACATTTGCTGACCACTATTTCTACAGCCACCGTCTCCTTTGGCACTGGGATGTAATGCCTGCCTCATGTGGAGGAGGGAGGGCCAGGGTGAATGGCAGCTCGGAGCAGACCCATAGTTCAAGGAGACAGCCGGGTTCAGCTCTTCAGGCACCAGGGATGCCAATACTTGTTTGCCGGTTTCTACAAGAGAAATATTAACATATAAGAATGGCTTAAAATGTAATATAAATATAAAATATAAGAATGGCATTAATTTTAATAATTTGTAATTCTCCATAAATAATGGCCAAAGGATCCTGGAACAACACAGAAACACATTAAGAAGAACTAAAAATAAAAGTGATATAACAGCAAAAAGCTGGGGGGGGGGGGGGTAGAGCAGTAAAACTATCCAATGATGGAGCTCAGGGTGTCTCGCCTCCATTTTATCCTCAGAACAACCCGTGAGATAGATTAGGATGAGAGAGGGTGACTCCCAAGGTCACTTATTAAACTTCATGACAGAGTAGGGATTTGATCCCAGGTCTTCCCTACTATGTTATCCTCACAACAATCCTATGAGGTAGGCTGCGCTTTTTTTGTAGAAAAAGCCCAGCCGGAACTCATTCGAATAATAGGCCACGCCCAACCACACACCTGACAGCACAGCTCATTAGCGTATTAGGCCACACACCCCTGTGTTACCAGAAGTCTGGTCATTCAGTCACACCCACCTTTTGCTTCTTATTCTGTTACTGGAATACTAGTCTGTTGCCAAGTGGTACAGGTACATTGTCAGGAATAACGATGGCTGCAAGGGGCTCCATACATATACTATGATGCTGCATCTAGCTAAGCAAATGAAATCCAGGTCGGGATATTACATCATGAACGGGAGACTCACCCCAATCCCATGAGAGCAGAAATATTCACACCCGTAGTGGAATCCAAGCCCTCCCCTCCCTTCAAGGTTATACTGATAGTGCCGTCTGGCTGAGCCAGTTCGCACGGGAGGAAAAGAGCGCCTCCCTTAAGTTACCCACCCCCACCGTAGCCAAGCAAAGCAAGCATGTGCGGTTGCGCAAAGGCAGGGATGAAGGTAAACAAAGAAAGCATGGCAGCTAGCTGACAGGCTTCATGAGGGTGACTGGCAAAACTCAGTTCTCTCCCACCATTTTATCCTCACAACAATCATGTGAGGTAGGCTAGTCAGAGAAACAGAGAGAATGGCCCAGAGTCAGTGAAGCCTAGTTAACCCCTGAGGTGCTAAATTAGGGAACCCAAGTCCCCCCGGGGGGCGGGGAAACCCCCGCCCCAGAGGCCCGTTCCCCTGTGCCGCCAGATCGGGCCCTGGGGGGAAATCCACCCTGATGTGTGCGTCACCTGGAAGTGACGTGGGCACGCTGGGGGCGGGGCCACGGCCATACAAGGGAAAACTCTATGGTTTTCCCTTGTATGGTCATGGCCCCGCCCCTAGTGTGCCTGGCATCCTCCCGTCACTTCCGGGTGACGTGCGTGCGGTGTGCGTGCACACAAGATGCCCGGCCAGGAGCCCCCCGCTCCCGGCGAAGATAGACTTGGCAACCCTATGGTAAACATGTGTCTGAGGCATCATTTCAGACCGCTAGGCAGTGGGTGCCGTTCCTCCATGTACAAATATCCAGGACATGGAAAATCAGCATGTTAAAAAGAGCGCTAGGATAGACAGACAGAACCCTGACATGCTAGTTTCCTTGTGCAGGGATTTTTAAAACAGAGATATATTTAATCATATGAATCCCTAGACACAGACTGATCATCTCACTTGGTCTTTGGTCTATTAGGTTTTCAGATTATATGACTGCTCCATTTGACTGCTGTGCCTTCCCTTATGTTTCCACAGGAACTCAGTTCTGCACGGCGTGCAAAATAGAGATGTTCCGCCAGGCCTATGGTTGAGGACAACAATGGACTCCATTATGGCTCTCACCAGGGCTCTTTTTGTAGAAAAAGCCCAGCAGGAACTCATTAGCATAATAGGCCACACCCAACAGCGGGAACTCATTAGCATATTAGGCCACACCCCTGCCAGCACTGCTCATCAGCACATTAGGCCACACACCCCATGTTACCAGAAGTGTGGTCATTCAGCCACACCCACCTTCCCCTTCTTATTCTGTTTACCTTGTTTGTTGTCAAAACCCAGGGCTTTTTTTGTAGCAGGAACTCCTTTGCATGTTAGCCCACACACCCCTAACTGTAGCCAATCCTAATGAGTTCCTGCTGTTGGGTGTGGCCTATTATGCTAATGAGTTCCTGCTGGGCGTGGCCGACTTGGGAGCCAGCCGGAACTCTGTTCCTGTGCGTTCCTGCCCAAAATAGCCCTGGCTCTCACTATGGCCTCCTCCATGACTGGTCCCTGATCGACCTGAGAGAGGGAGTAAACTGCGCTTTAAGCCATCTATTGTTATCTATTTTATTGGTAATTTGTAATTAATTCATTACATATTTTAACCTGTTGTTCACTGCCCTGAGCCCTTTGGGGAAGGGTGGTCTATAAATTGAATAAATAACAACAACAACTGTGGAACACATACCTTTAAACTGCCATTTACATGCATCTGAGAACTCAGAGGAACTCACAGGAATCCCAAAACACAGCTTTGATATGTGAAAACTGCTCTAGACCACGAGGCTACAGTAAGGAGCAAAGTCCAGTGTGTCTCAAGCACCAAGTCTGTTGTAAAATGACTGATACAGTTAGGCTGGTAAATTATTCTCCCAGGCAGAAAAGTAACAAAGAAAGCAGGCCAAGATTTGGAGGAACGACATTGCGAAAGATGGTCACTGGTTTAGTTCTGTGTGTGTGCACCAATTAATGGCATGGATCAAAACGGTCCACTACTGAAATCCCACAATTATTTGGGTCTTCTTAACATCTTCAGAGATCTTACTATAAGCCTGATCAGGCAAAAGACAAACAAAGTTAGAACCTTTTGTAACTAAAGTCAATAGACCAGTGATGAAGAACCTTTTAGAGACCGAGTGCCTGAAGAACTATGAATGGAGGTTCGTGACATTGTACAGGAGGCGGCAATCACCACCATCCCAAAGAAAAAGAAATCTTGCACACTTAAAGATCTAACTTTCAAAATGTTGTTTTTGGTAGGGGTCACCTCAGCAAGGAAGGTTTCAGAGCTGAGGGCGTTGTCTGTTAATAAGGAACTTTGCATTTTCCAT